GTTTGATAATACTTGAAAGAAATCACCTTTGTCTATACAACATTCCCTATTATTCAGAATGACCTTACAAATTGCAATTTAAAGGTTCTCGTGAATACTATAAAAAAAGAAAAAACAAATTGTCCATTTGTTTCAATCCTTCTAGATAAAACAGCATACTTAATTCAGTACATCACAATTACCTACTTGCCTCAGATATGTAAACAATGAAGGATATTTACGGGTTCACTGATGTAAGTGCCAATCATCCTGCCAAAGCATTATGTGAGCATGTTTTCAAAATTGTAAGAGGATTCAATTTTGAGTCACAATTTATTGGAACAGTAGCTATGGCAGGCGAAAGTAACTGGATTACCAAAATCATTACAAGAAAAATATCCATAATTCAGTTTCATACAGTGCTAGAACCATGTTTTAAATTTGGTTTTTGCAAGAACCTGTATACACCATTAAAGAGTTCTGCATGTTTTTACAACATTATCTGTTATGTCTGCATTTTTTTCACTTTTACAAATACAACTTATTCACTTACACAGTTCTTGGAGAAAAAGATAACCTATATCTACACCTACACCAACAAAATGAAACTTCTGCTCAAGAATTGTTAACACAATGCATGGAATGAAAAAGGAACTGACTATGTTTTTCTAAGATATTATACAGAACTGTGATGACTGGGATCCTATTACAAGAATATAGGTTCATTAAATTTTTGGCTGAATATAAGAATCAGTTTCTCGAGGTGTTTGTTTTCAAGGATATTTTGTCACACAGATACTCTTTTCGAGATTTTACATAAGAAACCCCTTGGCACTGCTTATGATGAAAAGTTACATTAAGGTTTTTAATTACGCCAAAGCCTCGAGGGCTATCTGCCTAAGGGGAAGGATGCCTTCGTGGAGGACTTTCTAAGGGAAACTGGCTCGTATACATGTTACACATGGGGAAAATCACAAAAACACCCATGAAGCCAGCCCGTTCACGGGATTTGAACTTCGGACCGAACTACCAGTGTTCAGCGACTTTACAGCTCGGCCGCTGGTGGGCTCTTATCATGAAAAAGAGATTGCAAAATTTTAATATCCTGATCCTCTTGGACCCCTTTACCTTAGAGATGATCAAAAAGCTTATATTGTTCTTTACATCTGTGCAGTCTATTGGCCCATTCATATGGGATTAATAACATTTTTGAAAAGTGAGGCATTTTATCTCTCATCGAGGAATATCATCTAATCTAATATACTCAGACAATGGCAGCAATTTTAAAGGGATGGAGATACACTTGATTGAGAAAGAGTCTGTGTTAAAAGGTCACTGAGCAAGTAACTCAGTGGAAATTTAATACTCCCTATGCACCCTGGTGACATGGCTGGTAGGAGCATTAGTTCAAATGATGAAACAGAAAAAGTCCTTGGCTGCACTGCCCTCCATTATGAAGAACTACTTGCAGTGCTATGTGACTGTGAAAGAGAAATTAATACTAGGCCACTTGCCTACGTGTCCAAAGACATATCAACCTTAACTCTCAAGATGTTTTTGAGGAATCCAAATCAAGAGGATCACACAATTTTGTGGATAAAACAAACATTGAGCAAATGGGTGAAATATCTACAAAAAAAATTAGAGAACGACTTACAGTAAGACTCTATGTAGAATATTTAGGACAATTACGTTAACAATCCATTAAAAATTATATGGTTAAACCTTTGGAGATGAGTGAAATAGTTCTACTGGAAGACAGCAAAAAGAAACATGCATTTTGGAACCTAAAGAGTGTGTTAAAACTGATACCTGGTTGTGAGGGACAACAGCTCAAGTAATACAAAAATAATGAATGAAAATGAAATAAATGAAAATATTAAGCAAGAAGTATTATCTATTTTGATTGTTAGTCTGGCTATAAAGCTAAGAACTAGAACAAGCCGGATTAATGTGCAAAATATTAAATATACCAATAAATTATTAGTCAACCAAAAACTAACATGCATATGCAAAACATAGAATATGACAATCTGCAAAATGACATGATAAGAATCACAGGGGCACAGCTCTTCACCACCTAGAATCACATTTAGAAGAACTTATATAGCATCAAGACGAGGCCACTAAATAAAACAACTGCTTAATTTCTAGCATTCTTAAAGCAGTTGCTATGAAATTCCAATAGGAATAAAAGAAATAGAAATTAGTTTGTAAGTATTTTATTAATTGTTTGTACAAATACTAAAGTAAAACTCAGATATGTACCTAATAAGATGTATGTATGAAATAAAGAACTTTTTGCAATTTTAATACGTCACTCTTTTCCTCCTGTAAAAAACTGCTGAACTGTGCCAAGTTTTTGCATTATAGAATTTGACTTCCTTTGGCAGCATAAACTAGCATCTAATTCTTAACAGATGTTAAGTAAATTGCCATTGTGTCTAAAGTGAATTACAATCTTTAAAAGTTTTAAAACAAACTTTTTTTTATTTTAGTAAGAACTCAGACATAAAATACATATCATGTACTCATATAATCAGCCAACGCTTGTGGCAATGCAACTTAGTGTAACACTCAGATTCAGAATTTAAAATGTAAACTAATAGTCATGACTATACAATTTAACTCCAGCAGTAAGTTGACTCGGAACTTACACCAGCATAACAATTTATATTATGGCAGCTCTAACACAAATCAAAATATATATAATCTTATCAGAGCTGGCAAAATTAAGTAATGTGGCCTTGAAAGCAAAAACATGCTCTGGCATGCAACCCAAAAGCCTCAATTTAAATACTTTCGAACTCATTTACATTTCTAGTAAGGAAGTAGAAAAGAGAAGTTATAGTAAAGGCTGAAATTATAAAAAACTGGTTAATGCAAAATAATAGTAACTCTGAAGAGTTTATATTTAAGTACACAGGAAACTTTAAAATAAGTATAATGTTCAAGAAAACAGCAGTTCATGCACTTCCTTGATTATATTAACATGTGGAAATGCGAAATTCTGCAGATTATTAAGTTTAAAATTACTTGTTCCCCCTTTTTTGGCTGGATTTACAGACTCTATTAGAAACTAAGAACATGAACAAATAACCACGTGCAGTGCTGATAAGGACCACATGTTTCTGTGACTCCTTCTCCTTTATTTTCTTCTTTCTATGTATTTCTTTCTCCTGATGAGGAGGGACCTTTAGCTGCCCTCGAAATCGATTGAGTGTTTCATTATACCTACGCTAAATACAAGGTTGTTTTTACGATTTTGATGAACAAATAGTTTACATGAACTGTTTCATATTGGCATGTTATGTATTAAACATATTTTTCACTTGGTATTTTATGAGCAGTTTCCAAAAATTTGCAGGATATAAATAGACTATGAATTAAAGATTAACAGATTATAGAGGATAAAACTTTTTAAATATTATTGATGAGAAAAATTAGATGAACAATTATAAAAACTTATGTAACTTGTAGCTAAGAACGTGAGCCTGACATATCTTCAAAATGCAAAATTGCCTATTCCTGTGGGGGAGGGGGGTATGAACATAGGAAAGTTAAAGAAAAATTGGTTTTAGAACTTTCTACAGAGCACATTAAAAAAATTTAGTAAGGTATATGGTTACCCCTGACTAAAATGCGAATCCTAGAAATTAGCTTCTGGAAAATTTCTTGCAGTAACCTATTCATGACCAATAGCACCTTGATGCACCTACAGCATGTCAGGTGTGTGCTGGGATAATGAAAGTTTGTATTCTAGTACATTTCACATGTTCTACCGAGTTTAAATTTGTCACTCCATCTGCTGGATATCTTTGACCTCTAGCTAATTGGTCACTAAGTGCAATGCAATGAGGATAAACCTCATAATCCATTAGGAGAAAATTATTACCAATTGTACCCTTAAAATCTTGACATAAGGATCAAGAGCTTCATCTCTATTAATCTATATTGTTGAGTTGTTTCTTTTCAGCATTGAAAATTGTACGGTTAAAAATGTGTAGATCAGTTCAGCCAATCAAAATGATAGCAGCCCATGGTATAATTTCAACATTTTTGTGCTGATACTTTTCACCAATGTTTTTAGACTTATAGTATGTGTTCTGATGTTTCCTTATTGCAGCATGTATGGAATCACCGTACAAACAGAAGCAAGATTTACCGGTAAAGACATAGCTCCAGTCCATGGTACACTAAGCATAATGATCTCTGCACCATTTTAATTGAGTTCATTTTGGAGCCCAAGTTACTGACACAAATCACAGGTTTCTCTACATACATCTTTGCTTTATGCAGCCTGTTGTTCATGATACATCTGAATACCTGAACTCTTGTATAGCTGCAGTGAACTCTTTTATAAAAAAATCAGGGTCAACGTCAATCGTCTTTTTTTTTTTTTTTTTTTTTTTTTTTTTTTAGCAACCAACAATGATCATGACAGTCTGTTGTGATACTTTGGTCGGGCTACCTGCAATATATCGATGTCTTTAAATGGTTTCCAGATTCTTGATATGATGCATTTGGTTACTTTTGGTCTTTACACACTTGTGTCAATGTCTGTTCTGCTTTCGTTCTCCCACATGCATGCCATTTCACATAGTTCATCAAATACCTTCTCAACAATATGTTCCAAATTGCATATGTGAAAATTTTATGTAACTGCTCATACAATCCCCAAAATTAGAATTTAAAGCACCCCTTTCAATGCCAGACAAAAGAACAGGTACAAAAATTTGCATACTTCTGTACAGTGAAGAAGAATCCCACTGAACTACATAACACTGACCCTAAGAAATAACACTTTCACTGCATTTTACTTAATAGACTTCACATAAAGCACCTTTCTATAGAAGTTCCTTTAATTTCTTTTCTCCGTTAGTATATTAATTCTTAATTATAACAATTTTCTCAATTTATTATTAATTTTTAAGGAAATAAAACAACACATATTTAATCATTAACTTCATAAAGATTTAATGAATTATGCAAGACAAGAATAAAAAATAATAAATACCTACAGTTGTTCTTTAAGCCAACTTCTTTGACAATATTATCCATTGTCCATCCATAAAGATCCTGAATGGAAAAAAAGAGGGGAAAAGGAAGGTAAATTAAAAAAATTACTTACAGGTGAAAGAATATGAAATAAGTAAAAATCTTTATTTCAATCCCAGATTCGTGTGAAGATTATTTATTACTATTTACATTTATAATATGAAAATTATTAGATTTGTTTTCAAAGTGACTACAAAAAGATGAAGAACACACGCTTCATTCTTTATTTTAGCAGTAATTAATTTAAGGTAATTTGCAAATAAATTTATAATTACTCTTAACAATGCACCTTTAAGAAATTAAAATAATCATACAATTACTAAACAAATTAAAAATAAAAAAGAAACTTTCATGTGTTTCGTTTTCAATTTTCATACACTGATATGTTATTTCCTTATTTATAAATATAGGAATTAAACATTAGCTACGCATATTAGCTTGTGTTGTTTCTTTTATTTGTACACACAGAGCACTTTCAATTATCCAGGTGAAGATTAACCAATTTGTGGATTAGTCTGGCGAGAGTTAGCTGATGTTTTAAAAGAAGCATGCTCCAGTAGTGTTTTTTCTGTAAGAACATGCATTCATGTTGTAATTAAGGTTTTCTTTTTTTTAAAGACGTGTGTATGAAAATTGCATATTGATACAAAGAATGGCTCATTTTAGTGTAAAATAAGTAGAATCAAACTATTTTATACAAATGATGGATAACATGATATGATGGATGATAATGATGGATTTTTTAAAAAAAAGATATAGTAGTTATGATTATCCACACTCTTGTTAAAGTTGCCATTCTAGTAAAGAAAAGGTAAAAAAGCACCTTAAACAACAGGTAAAAAGCTTAAAAAGCACGAAACTTTGTAATAAAACCTTTTTCAAGAAATCCTTTTTTTTTTTTTTTTTTTCTTTTGTTATTTGAGATGTTGTTCTCCGCATGTACAAAATAATTTGCTTTCACTTAAAAAACATTACAGAACTGCAAAAATTTGCCACTGTGCACTGTTGTTGTTCTTTCCATGTATATGATGATCTATTTTCATTAAAAAAAAATAAGAAAACTGCACACACATTTTCATCTATAAAATCAAACTGTTTACAAAGTAAACTTCACAGAATGCAAATTTTTACATCCTCTACTGTTGGGCAAAATGTCATATTTTTGAAGAAATGCAAATTTTTTAAAAAAAAATCAGGCAGCAAATTCCACATTCTGGTTGATTCTTTACAAGGGGGTAATAATGTGTGTTCAGTTTAGAGATGGAACTGTACACCCATGGGCTGCAACATGCCCATATCTCGATTGCCAGATACGCTTTTTGTTTTGCCGATATAGTGCATCGCCTTGTGAATAGTTTTCAGGGGTGTGGATAATCAGAAACAACCAAAAATATGTATAACAAAATTTTATTAATGTTATAAAATAAATAGCAGCCTCTGAAATTTTTTCTTGGGTGAATAAAATCAAAATTAATTATAAATAAAATACTTACACTATAAGATAAAATTTTAAGTGGAATACCATAGTCTTTTTCATTTCTTTTTACTGACTAAAAAATAGAGATTTCATATATATATATATATATATAGACACAAACGTTATCATACTTTTTACAGTAAAAAACTAGACAGTAATACTTATATTGCAAATTTATATAAAATATTAAACATTCCAATGTAGATGTGATTACCTCAAGTGAGTCATCTCGGTATCCAGTGATGCCTTCATCAATTGATAACAGAACAAGCTTTAAACCATAAGAATAACGTTTATTTAATAGCTTCATAATATATGCTAAAACTGTTGAATCTAAAAATGCATTAAAATTTTTCAATTATAATCAGAAAATGATACAAAAAGAATAAATTTTAAAAATAAGAATTTGTTAATTTTATTATGAAGCAAAAAACATATATAGTAACAAATACAGGTATATGTTACTTTATGAATGTTTGCTTTCATGAAAGACCTAATTACAATATTGCTCCTGGAATCTGAAATGCTTTAGAAGTTGAACTTAAAACCTGAATGCAAAATTCAAATATATTTTCCCCCATAACTGGAATGCTGCTTCAGAATTTGAATATCCAGTATGTTGCTCATGTGAGTTTATGCATATTTCCCCGAGTTAAATATGCATTTTATGCTCTAGTAGCTGTTTTATGTTACTTTTTAATACATTAATGAGGTAAAAGTTTACTCTACGGTACCCCTTGGTGAATCGCTTCTTTTTTGACACCATGATCAGCGCCAGAAACGATATGTGAAAATTTCAAGATGGCTGCTACACAAAGCCAAAATAAGAAGTCAAAGACTTACACAAACTCGGTGCCCATGTACACATGAACCTATTTTCACTTAAAAAAAACATCAGAGAATTGCACAAACTAGGCATTGTGCACTGCCTTAACTTTGTTCATGTACACGTTGACCTATTTTCACTTTAAAAAAAATTTTTAAAAAACATAGAATTGCACAAACAAGGCACTGAGCAATGCCTTAACTTTGTCCATGTACACATTCATCTATTTTCACTTAAAGAAAATCAGGAAGCTAAAACAAAGTTAAAACTATCATGGTAACCAGAAAAAATTCGCTGCTGTCTTAACACACAGAGATGAACAAATAACCCAAAATAACACAACCAGAAAGGAATAAATAACCAAAAATACATATTTCCTAACATAAAAACATTAAGCTACAAAACCTTTAAACAATAATTAACACACAGAGACAAATAAATAAACAAAATGTCAATCTTTTAACATACTTTTTTTTCACGTGCATATGTTTAGGCTTCCCACTACCATCTCCTCCATCCTCCAGGTAAGCAATTCAATTAAATTTTTCATTGTTTTGGCTCATCTGCTGTAAATCAACATTCATCCTCTTACCGACCTCAGAAATACTCAAATAATGGTATCCACAGCAAAATAATAACAAGTTCAAAATCCAAGACCATAACACGCACGTGCAAGCAAAGACAGCAACTGAAAAAAATAGCAAAAAACCAAAAACCCAGGTCTATACGAAAGGATTACTACTATAAAAAAGTGCAGCGGTCTTCCAGATTTCCTGAACAACCAATACTGCTTGGCGATTTTTTCAGAAATAACTAAGGAGTACTGTACAGCAAAGATTAGCCATTAATTAATAACTTTAGTGTATTTGCCATGGGTCCTAAAAATATAGTGAGAAAAATAATAACATGAGGAAATTTGTATGAGCTATGACTGAAGTAAGATATTATCACTAAAAATGTTACTGGTATATATGTGACTCATCTTATTCCTAGTGGCTTATTATTTGTACTATTTTGATAAATAAAGACAATTCAAAACAGCTGATGTGGTGAAAGGAATTATGATACTGATCCCTAAGAAACCAAAAACTATGGAAGATATAAAAAACTTCTCTTAGTTCAGGTTAATAAAAAAACAGTTCGCTGGCGATATGATTTTTAAGACACTAATTTGTGAGAAAGGTAAGGACCGCCATGATGATTTAGTAAAAGACATGTTTGATACTAATGCTCAAAAGAGAAATTTAATGCCACTGGGAGACTGTTCGAGAACTTTAGGGAAAGGTCTATGATTCATGATGTTGTTATGCATAGATAGGGTACAAGTGATAATTTAGAAGCAACAGACAAGTTTGCAAAGGAGTTCATGAACAATGAAGTATATATGTTTTGAACTAGATGTTCAACTGTGAAAAAATACACTACTTTTGGAAAAAATTGTCCGGATGAACATATATCTAAAAAAAAAAGAAAGGAAGCAAGAAAAGTTTGCATCAGACAATAAGCCAATAAAAGATCACCTTACATTCTTATATGGTGATATTAGTGGTTATTCTAGCCCTGCTTGAAACCCCCAACACTCGCCGTTGCATGGGTAATGAACTTGAGAGAAGCCCTGCAAGATGTTTTCATATTAAATAATTTTTCGTACATTTATTGCAAATCTGCACAGCTATCAAAAATTACATTGCGACTTTGTGGATGAAATGAAAGGTGAATGACAATGGCTAAGACCACAATATATTAAACATAAGTAAGAGAAATTTGTGACTCAACTGTACATTCTCGAAACCAGAAGCTTAAAATCACCAAGTATTGTTACTGCTTCTTCTAATTAAGTATTGTCATTAAAATTTTGATGACAATAGCCATCACAACTTGGCTGTTGTCACCAAAAGATTAATAAGTACATTCTTTTAGTTTTAAATAGATATTTAGAAATCAGATTTTGTCCTTAAGTTTACTTTTCTGTTCAGTTGTTTTATCTTAATAATACTCATATTTCATATGTATGGATGGATGTGTTAATATATGCATATACAGTCAAAAGTCGTTAATTCGGACACCCATAATCCGGAATGATCTATAATCCGGACCTCAAAGCTAAAAACTTTCTGCGCATGCAACGCGCTGACACATGCACATAGGCGTTTACGCGTGCGCGTAAGACTTCTTATGACTGCGCATTTGCGTGTGCGCAAGCGCAGAATACGTTTTCGCGTGCGCGTTTTATGTATAACGAACGGTATAAGCTAAAATTATCTAATTATCTATTTCAGTTAATGTTGATGATTGGCATTGTTCCTTAATTTTCGAATTGGATCCCGCTTATTATTTTTTGTATTCTGTAAGAGCAATACTATAAAGGTAAACTTGAACTTTCGATTATGTCAAATAGAATTTCCGATGCTGGAGCTGCCAAAGGATCTACAAAACGAAAGTATGCTTCGATGTCCATCAAACAAAAAGTGTAATTGCTGCAAAAAATGGATAAGGACATGAAGAAAGTGACAGAGAGGTTAGTGAAAATGAAAAAATTTCGATTGACGAGTTAGTTGGTATTCTCGGCACAGCAATTACGGGACTTGAACAGCAGAACTTTGTAACTGAACAAGAATATATGTCTGTTTATAGAATTAAAGAGAAAGTATTATCACATAAAACGAAGCAACTTAAACAACTTACATTGAAAGAAATGTTTAATAAAGTAAACAAATAAATATTAAGCTTTTTTTTTTTTGTAAATTTTGATACCCTTTAAATCATAATTGTTCTTTAGTTCATAAATTACGGTTTCATATTTTTAATTTTAGAATTTCTGCATGCCATCTTACGCGATTTAAACTGATGATCTATAATCCGGAAAAATCGATAATCCGGAATCGCCGAAGTCCGGACGAGTCCGGATTAACGACTTTTGACTGTATATATGTCATAATATTAAAAGCTCAAGGAAAAGACGGAACACTGTAGATGCGTGATTAGACCCATACAGAAGAAGAATTTGATTGTGTAGTATTTAAAGAACTTGGCAGTTGAGGCAGTTTTAATTCCATTTTTATTTCCAATTGATATTTGTGGCCACAATCACTTGGCACTCTAGTCGTGCCTTTCCACAGAAGATTTACATTTTTGATATTGTTGGGATAGAAAGCAAGCCAGCGAAATTTCATCTTAGCACAGTAGAGAGCAAAAGCTGAAGTGCGTAGTTATGAAGATGGAAGTACGCGAAGAGAAAAGTTTGGTTTACAATTCGGTATTGGTCGTCAAGAGGCATCTGGTATTAACGGTTCGTAAGATCACATGATTAATTTGAATGACGCAATGCAGATAAGTTATTACGATTTTAGAATAGAGAGGAAGAATTAATGTTTATAGTTATATTATAATTCTGATTCATACATTTTTATCTTACATATATATGCTTACATATATTTATATATGATATGTATGTGTGTGTGTGTGTATATATATGAATGTATGTGTGTGCATACATATACACATATATGTACATACATAAATACATTTCTGAATCCAGTTCCAATAACAAAACAGTACCGATGAAAATATAGTTTCTGGAAGATAATATGCTTTCTGTTACATTCAATATTCTTAGGTTATACTGATTCCAAATGCAGAATTTAAACATCTTTTCTATAAACAAATTTAAATGTGAATTAGGATGAACATGTATTTTTATATGTAGAATACTTCTGCAATAAATAAACTGGATTACAAACATAAAAAATCATTTATCATAATTTATGTGACCATACAAATAAATATATTGATATATCGGGTCCACGAAGTGTCATTGTTTAGTTTAAATTGTATCTGTGCTGTCAGTCAAAACATACAGAGAAAATATAAGAAGGATTTGTTGAAGATACACGATAACTTGCAGGGGCCTCAAAATGACTTAACCTGGCCTTAAATAAATAAATAAATAAATAAAAAGAATAAACATAATATTAGATGGAGATTGGAAGTGAAAGCATGGATTTTTATGCTATTTTTTACTGTTCATCCTCCAGGCTTAGATGATGATTTGGAGGGCAAATATAGCTTCAATAAAATTTGCCTCTCCCAGTATCACTTCTCTTATCCAACCTATAGATCAGCAATCTCCAAAAAATTTACACCATAGTTATGTTCAAGAGATGTTTTGAAATTACACATGAAGTGGAAATGACGCTCAGAGAGTTCTAGTAGGATCACTATGATATCCTCCATGACCATTTTGAAACATGAGTTCTCAAAAGGCATCAGAACCAGTGATTCAACCTTCCTAAAAGTGGTAACTTAGCAAACAGCATGTAACGACAAAGAATGCAGATATCAGTACCACAAGAAATGCAGTTTTCCGGTGATGTTATGGAAGATGACTCATGTCCTAAGCAATAATCTCTCTCCTCCAGCTTTCATCACTCCTTAAATAAAAGTTTTTATATTTTTAATTGTCTTGGAGCTCAAACAGGATTCCAGAATGGATTAAGCTTGGATTCCAAGATATCACTGCAGTGCAACCTTTTTAGTTAATGAAAAAATCCAAAGAAAATTTTCACTTTTATGAAAAAAGATAAAAAGTGTAATTATGATTCAGCAGTTTTTTAAGTAATGAGTGAAAAAAATATAATTAATTATGGAACTGGCGAGAAACTCCATGCCCTAATATTACTATCTAAATTTTTTGTCTATATTTCGAACTTTAAGCCTTAAATGTTTTTAAAAACGCAATTCAAAAAACCACATCTTGAACACCCAATTTAAGCTAAAAATGCAAAACAAAAACAAAAAACAAAAAATTTAATCAAAATGTTTCCTTCTCCAGAATTTTTTTTTTTTTTTTTTTTTTTTTTTTTTTTTTAATTTTCAGGCGTTGTTCGTTTTATGCTTATTTTTGTAGTATTATTTTGAGAATTGCCAATTAAATTGCTAATAGGAGCAGAAATTACTTTATTTTTCTCACATTTATTTTTAGCAGTGAAAGTAGTTACTACAGCTCCATTTACTTTAAGTATTCTATAACTTTCAAAGAGCTTTTTATCTTAACTTCAGAAGCCTTTACTTCTTCCTTAAAAATTGTAAGAAGCAGGTTCTTCAATTCTTCCTTCCTTTTAGAACTAATTTTAAAACAATAATAAATATCAACAATGTATTCATTCATAATTATTGGTAAAGAAGCTGCCCCTTTTTCCAGCTGCTAAATTTAAGAGGTGGTGGTAGATGCACCTCATAATTTGCAAATCTGAATTTTCTTTTAAGATGCATATAACAGAAATCTTAAAGTCTTCTATTATTGGTGTGCTGTCGACAAAAAGTGCTAAGCAATTATATAGAACTACATTTCCTTTTTAATAATTAGCTACACTACATTAAAGCCTGTCAAATCTCCTACTAAAGTGGGGACAAAAATTACACTCAATTTCTGAACACTAGGGTTAAAGAAAGAAATAACAATTGGATACAGTTTTGAATCACTATTATTATTTCACCTAAGGAGAGGCAGAATGGAATCGTTTTAATGCAATCAATACCTGAAGATTTATATTTTATATGCATTTCTCTAATAATTTCTACCATTTTTACCATTGCATTTGAGTATTTCTTAGCTATTTCTCTACTGGGAAACATTTTTCTAAATAAAGTTGCAGGCATGATCTGATGCATTCAGTGGCAGGTTGTGCTCCAGTAAAAAAGTCAAGAGAACAGACATTCTGTGTTAATAAATTTTTAGTCCTTTGTTTCCACAGCAAATTTTAATTTTTAAATTTTTTTCAATACAACCCATGTGGTCCTTGTGTTTTTGTGCTTGCACATGTTTAAGAACACTGTCCCTTCCATCGTGCAAAATCGAAAAAGCAGAATGACAAATGGTACATACTGCAAATGTATTTCCGTAACGAAATAATAGAAGGTTATGATTCTTACATCTGGTACCATTATCTGGTTATGATTTTCGAAAAGAATATGAGTATTTCCCCTTTTTCAGACATAACTAAGATAAAGGATACATTTTCTTAAATTATTTCTTGAAAGCATGTGTAACTCGGAGCACTTAGCGGAAAGACAAACAAAATAACTACCTCGTTCTTGCTTTGTGATCATGGTCCAAATCATATGCCAGATGACCTGAAGTAGCACTTGAAGCTCATTGGAGAACTGAATGGAATGTTTTCGGACACATATACTCTCACACACATAGCAAAAGCACACCATCATGTGTAACTGAAAGAATGACTTTAGTGTTCTTTTATATGTAATCTAGAGAAAAACTATGTGCTTTCAGATGCCGAAAATCACTTCCCTGCATGCAAATAATGAAACCAAGCTACATAAAAATCATGAGAAACTTTACAAATAAGAGAAAGTGAGGAGAAATAGGTCACAAATCAGGTTGGTGGGAGTATGGTCATAAATCGGGAGAGCAGGCACCTTTGAAAATGCTTTCAAATTCTTATTTCTTCGTTTTTGAGTTTGATTTTTAGCTTATGAGAATGTATGTTTGTTTTGCAAATGTGAAGACACACTATCTGAAGAAAAACTTTAAAGTTCAGATGCAAATTATTATTATTATTATGAAAGTATAGAATATGAAAAAAAATTTTATTTGGTTGCAGTTACAATTTTGCCATATCACTTAGTGATAAACATCACTAAATTTAGTGATTAATTGCTCATCACTAGTAAAATCAACAAGTACCTCTATTTTTACCTCAGTAATTTTTTAATGAATTAAATTTATAAAACGACAATTAATTTAGAACATAAATGTGCTATTTTAAATTATATTTACCTTTTCCTCCTGATGCCGCAATCGCAACATATTCACCTTCTTTGAATAAATTGCCTCTAATTATAGTTTCATGGATTTCAGTTTCAAAGACTTCAAAGAAGCAATCTTTGCAAACAGTATGACCCTGGAAAAAAAGTGAAAATATAATTTTTGTCAGTTACACCCTTGGGAATGGATATGAGAGTCTCCCACCAGCCTTTCAAGAAGACTTTTAATTTGACAGTATTTTATATTTTAAATAAAATAAAAGTCTGAAGAAGATTCTTTATTTGGTAATATTTGAGCATACTATGCTGCAAATAAACTACTATATACTTAACAAACATTCATGCATGGTTGATCTTTACATTATGGTAACTTGGCGATTTTTGCGAAATTTGGCACCAACTCTCCACGCACCCTCTATTTTTTTTTCCCCGCCGCCATTTTTCTCCTCACGAATAAGACATTTCTTTCTTTTTATCTACTGAACACTTCTTTCCACAATCTAGTACCCAATTACCTTATGCTAGAAATTTTATCAAACAATCACATGCACCTTGACTTGGTGGTCCATGTTGCCTTCTAATGGATATTCCATATTCTTACTTGCTCTGATCATTTACTTGCGGCTGAGCCGTTCTTAGAGATATTTCAGCTGATATGGTTGCAAAGGCATTTTACACCATTTGGAGTTCAGATTTCTAGTACACATAAGTACATTATACCAGGCAAATATATAGATGCAAAAATATTAGGTTTATTGATAAATAAAATATGGGTAGGTACTTGCATATTAATCCAATCATCATAATGCAATTTAGTAGTTTTTTACAGGGTAACACACAGGTACAAGTCGAAGTTACTGACTAGGTACGAGTTGGTGGCCTTTTTTTGAAGAAAGATATCCAAACTGTCAATAGTTACAGTATGTTGGTAAACATTATCACTAAATAAAAAGAACACATACTTTAGCAATTTAAAACACAAACTTTAATTAAATAATGATTATGTGATACACTAAAAAATAAAGCACTTTTCAAACACTTATTTTTATTCAAATCTTTCTGTAATTTTTTTATGATATTCTTCTCTGAATTATATAGCTATCTGTTTTCGCTTAAAAAAAAAAAAGCAGAATTGTGGAGACTCGGCTTCAAACAAATCTTGGCAAGAGTGGCTGTCTATGAAGCACATTTCATCATTGTTCCTTTTAGAAAATTTTTGGCAAAATTCTGTATTCCCACAAAAGCTTTATTGCAGTTTTTTCCATTGCTGGCAAATTTCAAAAGATCATACTTTAACCCTAAGTTTAAGGCAAAAAATATCATGGTTTGTCTAAAAAACCATTGGAACTAGAATACTACAAATGCATACAAAAATGTTGTTGCTGTTTGTCTGAAGGATTGTTATGAGCATAGTTACCAGAAGAATTGTTCTGCATATATGGTTACCAGAGTTGCCCATTCTGAAATTTTGGCCACTTCTACTAAGGTGGTCATGTTAATATGTACAGGCGGCCCTCAACTTTTGTGCATAGTTGGTTCTTTAAAGTGTGTGTGAATGCTGAATCTTTCAAAAGTAGAGGGATGTTAAAAGAATTTGCTTTATTTATTTACTAGCGGAAGTACCTGATGCCAGTTAAGTTAGATTGAGAGTAATGTATCTAACAACAGAGAAAATGACACCACTGTAATCCTTCTCTAATTATTGATCTTTGATGTAACAAAATCAGGTGAGTGTGTTTTCATCTGTTATAACTTATTTTTATTAAAAAAAGACAATTCACTTAAAAGAATTTTTATTGTAAAGGTGTGCGATGTACAGTATTTCTAGTTTTACCACCAGGAGTAAAAATGTACAAATTTTTTCCAGTTCCTACCATTGAATAAGCTATGTACAACTGACCATGTGAAAAGCATGGAGATAGCTAGTTGTTACCCTCTATGCGTTGTAGTGCTACTTAAAGAAAAGAAAGTGTTTTAATTTTGTTTATTGAAATGCTTTTAGATACACAATATATTTTTTTCATCTGGTGCGGGCAGTTTCACTTTTCTACTCCCATAGCAACAGTCCTGGTGCTTCATTCTTAAATTTGAAGGCTCTGCAATACATTACAATTTATCGATCTGTCCAACGACCATACTTGGATGAAGACTGTAGTCATAATTAGCATCATAATGGAATGCACCAAGATTTAAATCAGCGTGCAGTGTTCGTCTAGATCGAGCAGTGCGTACTCGAATATTTTACATTCTTGCTTTCCTTAGCTCGTTTGTTTTATACAAATAGGCATGAGCATTACGTACTTGAAAGTTTTCCAGCCTTTCTCCCATTGCGAGTTTGTTTCTGAAGCTCTTGATGCCATTTTTTTTTTTTTAAATCATCCTTAAGGTGCAAATTGAGTAACCAATTTTTGCTTTAGTGGCGTAATTGATTTCACAGCAAAAGTAATGCTCTATGAAGACTATTACAAATGCAGTTTCAAAAGCAAAGAAAATGTGTGTAATGCAATAACACACATGTTGATGTGTGTGTGTTATTGCATGAAAAATTAAATATTTTACACTTTGCTGAATGATAACACACTTTAAAATATTTTAATTTGGGCAGTGCAACACATTTCTGTTAAATAGCCAAATTTTTTATTAAATTCAAGACAATGTAACTGCATTTTCCATGTTGGAGATGGCCTGTTGAATTTATATTAATGGTATTAATTGATCTGGTACTATTTATATCCAATATTGCTGGATGGCATACTGATCTAATATTTTGCACCATGAGGCATTTATCTTACCTGTCCTAAAATCTGTGAATGAAAATTTTGTTTATTACTGCGAGTATGATGCTTTATTGACATGGCTATACAAAAACCGA